GCCAAACACAAGAACAACTGCGCAAACCTTTTCCAGAGCCAGCTGGTCAGAAGTCCCAAGTTCGACGTCATATGCCATGGTGACTGCTGGAACAACAATGTGCTCTTCAGGTGAGTGGGATTCGAGGTGCTAACTCTTTATGTCTGTCATGTATATAGAGATTAAGGATTCTATAAGACTATTGACTTATACCTGCTGTCTCTGATGCAGCTTAACTTCCCGAAACTCTTCAGTCATGTTATATTTTGGCCTCTCCCACAAGGCGTCGTGAAGAGTTCAGCATCTATGCACAAAAAAGATTTTTCAGTGCATATTTACTAAGAATTCACTCTGGTCATAGACTCGGTTCAAGATTACAGTATATACTTGCTAGATGGTCAGTGAGCAAGAACAAATATCATAACCCTGGCGATTACAAAATTTCATCCTTAAAATCTAACTTTATTTAAACTAACTCTAAGTGCAGTTTACAGATATAGCTGACACACTGTACATATACATAAGTAAATCCTCCATTTTAGAACAAATTTGGAAGCAAACCTCTAAGAATAAATAATAATGAACAAGGTCATTTTTAACTACGGGACGTAACAGTTTTCTTGGTTTTATGACATTCAAACGTATTTGTATAAATGATGCTTCAAATAAAGCAAAAAAAATAGGCAGTTCGTTCTACTTGCCTACTGTTCTATTGCCCAACCTGTTCAGAAGACATAACCCGGGGCAGATCTAAGGACATAACTCCGGAATTGGTCCCGGGACATAACTCTGAAGTTGGTTGAAGGACATAACTATGGGATAAATCCCAGGAAATCCCTGGGTAATGACACCGGAGAGGACCTGAGGGGAGGGGGGAGCGTATTAATGGTTTTACAAAAACATTTTGTTTTAATATTTGCTATTATCTATTCTTGACTTGCCCTTGCAGGGCAATACTTCGGTAGGCCTACTTGCCTTGCGAGGAAGGTTTAATTTACACCCAATTGTTCCTGATCGAGAAGAATTATCTTTGTCATTATACGTTGTAGGTTTCAAACAAAATATTTATGTATTCTGAATAATAATGACCAAAAATACAACTTAATTCAAGGGGGTATTCATCTCTGCAAGATTTAGTTGAAAGATGCCATAAAATTTAATATTGTTGATACTGTAAAAATAAAGCCAATTACTCTGTTGGCCAAATTATGTTTCAGTTATACACTGTTGCATTATCTTTAGGTTTTAACTCATCAATTCTCATGAGGTCACTTTGCTCTATTATAAAAGGTACAACGAAGAGGGTGACCCTGTTGAGGTGATGTTAGTTGACCTCCAGATGAGCCGTGTGGCCTCCCCGGCCACCGACCTCAACTACCTCCTCTTCACCAGCCTCCACGGCAAAGACAGGAAGGCCAACTGGCAGGACTTCCTCTCCTCCTACTACGACACCTTCCGAGGTGTGATGGAGGCCGGGGGAGGGGACGTGCCTTTCACCCTGGAGGAGCTCCATCAGGAGGCCAGAGACAAGATGGAATACGGTCTGCTCTTCGCTACAATGTCGGCCTCAATGATGCTGGGCGAGGCCGATGAGTCTCCTGATCTGATCAACATGAAGCCAGAAGACATCCCGAAGATGACGGAAGATGGTCGTCAAAATACAATTAGAATGATGAAAAACAGTCCACTCTTTCGATCTCGGTTCCTCGCCTTGTTTGATGACCTGATTGAGCGGGGAGCTACCAGGGCTTAGCATCTTCCAGTAAATAAAAAATTGTTGCTTACATTTTAAATGTTTCTTATTTTCAGTGTATGTTGTAAGGATTAAGAAAGAAAAGGGAACTATAAGGAGAAAGTGGTAAGCCTTTACGGCTATGTAGCAGTTGGATAAGGATTTGGGATGGGATGGGGGGTAAGGAATGGCGCCCAACCACTTGGACGGTCGGGGACGGTCATGCAGCGACCTGCATGAAGCGAGACCGTCGCTCTACCGTCCAGCACAAGTGGTGGCCGTTGGCAAGAAATGGGTAATGGAGGACTCCACCTCCAGGAGACAAGTGAGCACGTGAGGATCACAATACACTCGATCAGTCTTGGAGCCTTAACACGATAACCCAAATGTGGTAAAGCGTTGCCCAGAAGAAGAAAAAATAATTGAGACATCACTATTTAGCTAAACATATCCAACAATAATAACATTGTTACGGGCCAGTATGGACCAGTAACCGGGTTCTTGACTTTATAACCTCTTTTATAGTATCCGACACCAAGTCGATAGTATGCTTTCAAGAACTGGTAATAGTGCAATGCATAAATAAGGGGGGGGGGAGGAAGGGGAGGATAAACAATACTCAATTACCTTCACTAATAAATTTACCTACACCATTAAATATATATATATATATATATATATATATATATATATATATATATATATATATATATATATATATATATATATATATATATATATATATATATATAGAATATTACTGCACATGTACAATATTGTCACTTTCACTTATGACACAAATGCGTTTGCAGTGTTCACCAACTCCAGTGATTACGACGTCTCAGTACCTTGTCCATTCGTACTGGACAACACTGGCAAGTTCACCTTTCACGTGGGCCAGTCCACCCACACAGTTTCACGATGTACCCACACCCCACCTTCGTCGATACCGTAACAAACATTTATTGGGAAACTTCAGGAAGTGCAGATTACTCAGGTATTGATAGCTATATATAAGAAAGCTGCAAGAAACCTTCACCACTTAAGAATAGAGGCATTTGCAGAAAGATAATTGGTCATAAGCTCCTCTTATACACAATGAAATCACAATAGCGAGATATATCTACGAGAACATCTTTGGATCAGAACTTTCCAGCATCCTAGATGACCCCCAGACGAGCACCTTAACCCTTGAACAATGATATGCTAAAGGTTTACCTCTATTAACTCCTAGTGTAATGTGGTCTATAGATTAAGCGTTTACACTGTTCCAATCCCCGTCATGCTCTAAATTGTAAGGTTTAGCACCTATTATTATCGCAAACGTCTTTGTCCACCCCGGAGCTGGAGTTTTATTATGAGCTTATTTCTTTGATGTTGCTTGGTGCCTTCTTCAACACATCTGCAGCTCTCTTTTTGGAATCCTGTATTTACCTAATTCTTTCTAAACATAAACTTGTTCAATTATTATTGATTGCCTTGTGCTTCATATTTTGTTGATATTGTTAGCACAATATTTACTTCATCGCCTTCACTGCAGAACCATGAGAACAGCAAAACAATTAGCCAGATATATTCAAATGAAATAATTTGATATATTTTCAAATTCAAATATCTAAAACAAAAAATACCGAAATCATCCTACGCTGAGACATCTGTGTAACGTAAACTTCACATAAGTGTCCAGCAGCAGGCCTGTAGTGTCTTAGAATTCATGTCTCCTCTCTCCAGCTATGTGGTCTGGTACTTGCTCCATTTTTACCTCAATTACGTTAAAAACCACTAATGTAATTGTTCAGCTTTTCCTTGATCTTGGGAGACTCTACCTGTACACAACTGTGCTGGGAACCGTACTATGGAAGGGATTACATTTTTCTTCGGAGAAAACCGAGGCAGATTACATATATTCATAAACAATATTAGTCAGAATTATATCAGCAGTGTTAATAGACATCAATTTATCGCTTTCAATATATCGTGTTCGCAAAATGTAATATATTTAAACGTCTTTCCTCAAATGTATAAACGTTGTTAATTAAAGGTATTAAGCGAGTTTTTATTTATTAAATACTAATACAAAGAACTGAGGTTGATCTATATGTGAGGTTGATCCGTACTGATATTTGGTAGGAGATTGGTGACCCTCAGCCGGACGACAGCTCACACTTTTAGGATCAGTCTGTTCCTCTATCTCGTTAAATCTGCATTACCATGGCCAAACCACCTATAGTGTTGTGGTTCGAACAAAAGTCGTCAGCGAAGCACTTGTTCGAGAGGTTTGGCGGATGCAGGAAATGGACTTTTGTTTCTGTAAAAGTCATTGTAAAAGTAAAATTTACACTTGTAAGTCACTGCTTGTTACGTTGTAATCCGTGTCCTGAGGAGTTCTTCACTTGTATCTTGAGCTTGTCTCGAGCTATGTGTAGCCTGTTACTTGTAGTCCGTGTGCCACATGCAGTCTGAGCTATACTCTAGAGGTCATAATCACTAGAGAGGCTATTTAGAAGGTTCGCTATATAAAATAACTTTGGTATACCACTTGTGGTCAGGAGTGAGCAGGAGACATCAAACTGCAGAGTAGTACATCAGTTCCTTACATGTGTGTTTACGGGTACGATGATAGGAGTGAGGAGAGCATTGTTCAGCTTCTCAAGAAAAACATTCCAAGGCCACGATAGCATCCACCAACGTGATAACATTCAACACACAACTCAGTCCTATGTTACCACACACTTCTCCCAGGATCATTACTCTCAAGACTGTCACAATCGCAACACTCATTCTCAGCATCACCCTCAATGCTCCATCTTCACCCTCATCAATACCATCATTACTCCACACATACACTCTCACCATCACCATCATTACTCCCCACACACCCTCACTACCACCATCATTACTCCGCAGGAGAGTGTCTAAGCCTGTGTTGCGGTGATCATGATAGCACTGTCTGTCTAATGGGTTCATTGATAAAGCTTCAGCGATAACCTATATATTATCATAAATTGATAATCTATACATAAGATAGCATGAGAGGCTGAAGGGGCGAGAGAGCTGTTGTTGCCAGTGAGTGAAAGCATCATAAATATTAATACAAACGTACGGTGTTAGATATATATTCTTCTCAGAATCCCCTGAGTGGGTGTGGTGGCATTTTGTTATTGCATGGGTTAAATAGCCCGTCTTTATTTACATTTGTTCTTATGAAAATTTCAAAAGATATGTTAAGAAAGTCAACAAATATTTAAAAATAGCGAATGTCCATTAACAATGATAGTGTAAATAGTTGTTTCTAACCATGCGTCGTGCAGGTGCTATCCCAGCATACTTCATGATGCGCAAAGTGGTGCATAGATAAAGAAATAAATGAAGTTACAAAAGCTCAATTGTCCAACGCCCACTCAGTTGTCGAGTGTTGACGGTGGTGGCTAGACCTTACTGGCTGGTCGTACCGTAGTTGCTGCCCTTCGTTGGTCGTCACCTCGACTCTGTGTACAAGTAAGACTGAGAGCTCTCTGTGGTGTTCATGACACGGATGATCCATTTAGCAAAAGAAGATTCAGACCTCGGCTGTAGATTTTCTTGACAATAAGTTTTTCTATGGCTGTAATATCTGTTTACTCCAGCAACAAATCACAGATAAATGAAGCTTCTAAATCTAATTTATACAGTATATAGATTTTATTACCTGTTATTGTGCTGTTATGACTTTATCTCAGGTAAATAATGTGTTGTGATGTCGTGTAAACAAACTCAACTATTAATGACTTGATTAAGGTTAAAGTTGGACCGAAACGTCGTCACTTCCCTTATAATCATCTTTATGGGTTGGGTGCCCAATTTTCAACCATATTATTGAGACGTGCTCTCTTCTTATAGCAGAGACTTACCTGCTCCTTATCAACAATCGTCCGGTCATCACTCGCAGGGTAATTGTGTCATATCAGTTATAGTATGTAATAACCAATGGAAGGTATACCAAGCAGGGGAGACCATTGCATTTTAGAGGTCTTTAGAGCACCGAAAGAGAGCACTGAGGGAGTGGGTAATTTATCACCCTCATCGCCACTAAACACCCAGAGACATCTGTCAACCGAAACCAATATTTTATGACAGACCAATTACTCCCTCAGCGGGAGCCCAACCACGGACTGGACGGAAGAGCGACGGTATCGCTTCTTGCAGGTCGGCGTTCAATCCCCGATCGTTCATGTGGTTGGGCACCATTCCTCTCCCCCCCCCATCCCATCCCAAAGCCTTATCCTGTCTCCCCTTCCCAATGCTATATAGTGTATATAGTGTTATATAGGTATAGCATGTATATAGCTATATAGGTATAGTCTATATAGTGCTATATAGGTATAGCTATATATGTATAGACCTGATAAGTCTCTTCCCTCCCTCCCTCTGTGGGACGTGGACATTCGGTGGACTACTTGTGGGACTACAGCTCTGGGACGTGGACATTCGGTGGACTACTTGTGACCTTGACGAATAGTGCTATTTATAAATTACTCGAGTGGTACCCGGCGCTGCTCGGGTGACGGAGGCTATACATATTATCTACACATGCATCACGGACTCCTTCTTCACTACACATGACCATAATTTCTAGAACCGTCTCTAATACACACAGTCATCATCGTTGTAACCTTTTTACCAACACACTCACACACACACACACACATAGTCCTCATCACTGTAACCATCTACACTCGGCACGACCATCATCATTTATGTAACCATCTACACTACTCACATCTTCCATCAATACAGTTACCATCTTTACTATATTTTATCTTTATTATTACAACTAACTTCCCTAGCACCATTGGATACCCCATCTATAAAAGTCATTATCACTACCTTCTCTCTACTTCACTACTAGCCCTTTGTCTCACCACCTTTCCAGTCCATCACCTTTTTCCCTATCGTTCACCATCTTCCCTATCCTTCACCCCATTCTGAACTCGTCACAGCTATCCCATCATAACTGTAACCATCTTCAGTACAGATTATCTTTATCAATAAGTAAATTAGATGAGACAAACTAGCATTTAATCATTAAGTAGAAAATAATATGTTTGTAAATCATTGTGAGGATGGAGTCAAAAAATTAGCGAGATGGGAGTTGGTAACATTTGCCATTTCATGCTGATAAAGGGGACATGAAGGTTGACCCTTATCCTGACCCTGCCAAGCTTGGAGTGACTAACGTCAGCCGTCTGGCCACGAATACACGAACAGAAAGACAAAAACCAAACAAACAATCACATATAATCTTTCCTTAGAAATAGATGTTTATATTCCTCATCTTACCTATTTATATTGTGAAGGATTCTGAATATTATTTGAGTTATTTTGACTTATGACTACATATGAACAAAATAAAATAATGAAAGAAATATTTTATAGGATAAATCAGTCAGAATTTTCACTATGTGGCTCACAGGAGACCTAAAGCTCTCAGACACGTGATTGTGAGTTCAATTCTAATTATTTCGATGTAACAAGAATAGAGAGATTATGTGACATGATTTTAGTTATGTATATAGTCCTCCACCTCCATATTCCACCTGAGAATGTCATATACGGAGGATTCTATTGTAAAATTCAGTAAATTTTGATTACATTTTATTAATCACATTACTGAGTCTTCATAGTGAGTTGCATGATAATATTACCCGTGTGTAAGAAGTAATACATTTTTCCTCCGTAGTGGCGAGTGCAGGAGACGCAGGAGATGTCAGGCCGCAGGACAACATAACAGAGGCTCACGTGAAGGCGGCGCTGACGGCGGACAAGGGCAGCGAGGCCAACCTCGTCTCTTGGAGCATTAAGGACTTTACAAACAAGGGCGACAACTACGCCACCATCGTCACCAGCGTCAGTGTCAAGTTCTCCCTGGCAGGACAGGAGCAGACTACCTCTTACGTGGTTAAACTCAATCCAAAGCGAACTGGTGAGCGCGGCATGTCAGAACTTGGTTTAATAGTATTCCTGAAAGAAGCAGAGTTTTTCCAAGAAATTCTTCCTCTATTGAACGCTGAGCTGACGGTCCGTGGTCTTCAAGGCTTAAGAGTAGCAAAGTGGTTTTACACATCATTAGAAAAAGACAAAGAGATGATTTTCCTTGAGGACCTTCGCTCGCGTGGGTTTAAAATGTTTGACCGCAAGAAGGGAATGGACGTGGCCCACGCCACCCTCGTCCTGCAGGAGCTGGCCAGACTCCACGCCGCCTCCCTCCTGCTGAAGGCCACGGCACCCGAGAAAGACCTGGCAGACAGGTTCACACACATTAAAGATGACTGGATGAATTTCTCAGAGAGCGCTAAACAATTTTTAAACGATATGTTTTCTGGCCCCATAGCGGGTGGTGAGGAGATGCTGCACAATATAGAAGGCTACGAGGTAGCAGAACAGTGGCTGGCCAAACACAAGAACAACTGCGCTGATCTTGTCGAGCAACAGCTGGTTAGAAGTCCCAAGTTCGACGTCATATGTCATGGTGACTGCTGGAACAACAATGTGCTCTTCAGGTGAATGGAATTCGAGATGGTAACTCTTTTGTCTGTCAAGTATGGAGCTTCTGTAAAGCTATTTATTTACTTTTTCTCCACCTAACGCAGTTTAACTGGCCGAAACGCCTCAGTGTCCTTATATTTAGGGCATCTCCCCAAAGTGTCATGGCAAAATAAGCTCTTATGCAATGAAGGAGGAATGTATTACATTTTGCATACATAGTCAGTCCTGGAGCGTTTTGAGCACAAGAATATTGTGGTTCTATCACCAGAACGGCGGTTCGAGTCACTCCGTTGCTCAAAATAACTTTCTTGTTGATATATTACTTTCTTTGTGATTTGAAAGTGGGCATAAAAAGAGCACTTTGTCCGAGTCGGTTTGAGCAGGTGTCTGGGAATCATCAGAACGCCGATTAGTGTCAATATATATATATATATATATATATATATATATATATATATATATATATATATATATATATATATATATATATATATATATATATATATATATATATATATATATATATATATATATATATATATCCCCGCCGCTTAGGACTACCCCTTAGCATAATGAATACCATACCGACTAAACCAATAAGTTCATGCAGTCTTTGTGTCATACATATGTATTTATAAGTCAAATATTTAGTTGGCCAAATTGAATACAGTTATTCACTATTACTTTGTATTTAGATCTTAACTCCTTATTATTGTATCAGGTACAACAAGAATGATGTCCCCGTTGAGGTGATGCTCCTTGACCTCCAGGTGAACCGTATGGCTTCCCCGGCCACCGACCTCAACTACTTCCTCTACACCAGCCTCCACGGCAACGACAGGAAGGCCAACTGGCGGGACTTTCTCTCCTCCTACTACGACACCTTGCGGGGTGTGATGGAGGCCGGGGGAAGGGACATGCCCTTCACCCTGGAGGAGCTCCATCAGGAGTACAGAGACAAGATGGAATTTGGTCTGCTCTTCGCTACAATGACGATGACAATAATGTTGGGCGAGGCTGAGGATTCTCCTGATATGATCAACATGAAGGAGGAAGATATTCAGAAGATTATGGAAGAAGGTCGTCAGAACACAATCAAAATGGTGAAAAACAATTCACTCTTTCGATCCCGATTCCTCGCGGTTTTTGATGATCTGATTCAGCCCAAAGCTTCAGGTCTCAGTGTTGAAAAGTGGCGTAAGTAAATAAATTACCAACAAGGAATCATCATTAATTTACCACCAAATATCAAATAATTAATATGAAATAATAGCAAACTACCTAATCATGTTCACCAGTCAATCACGAATAGCTATATATGCAAGGAATATGTGAGGACCTTCCGTACATACTAACAAAGTGACACACGATACATACTGACTTATACAGGATAATTAGGTGATCCACGCCATGAGTCAAATAAACTGTTAACCCCACACTACCAGATCATTTAATTCCCATGTGCTCGAGTTGCAGCCCGAGAATAGCAAGTTCCTTTAGGAAGCAGATAGTTGCATTGGAATCCTTCTCTTATATGGCTAGCCCAGCAGCACAGTTGATAGAGCGACTGTCTCCCATGCAGGAGGTCGCGTGTTCGAGGCTCTTAGTGCCCAGGTGAATGCAATGTAGTGTGGAAAACTACATTTCGGTTGGTATAGAAGTAGTAGGCATCCTGCAGTCTTGGGAGATTATGGAGTATCGCTCTGATTGTCAAGGCTGGAGTGTCCTCTCGAGGGAACAAATCTTGGTTATGTCGAAATAGAGGAGACGCTGTTACCCATGCAGCAAGTTCCCCCTCTCCACGTTGCTGAAATTGTCCAATGAAAAGGCAAACGCCAATACGCTTGGTTCCAGCGCCGTCGTAGGAGCTGCCAGAACGAGGTTGAAGTCAACAACGAACTGCCTTAGGGGCTCCATGTATACATATGCATAATACTATATTAAGGTTCTACACATATGTATGCATAATCTCTAGACTGTTGCGTAGGTTGGTGCCACAGATATTTGTTGTTTCATCCTTGCACTTGCTGGAAGCGGAAGTCTTGTGAATGTGAAGACTATTGAACGGAAGAATATTAGTAAACTGGAATAGTAAATGAGGCAGAGGTAGGACATTATTATTCACACACACACACACAAACACACACACACACACACACACACACACACACACACGCACACACACACACACACAGAGCCAGAGCTCAACCCCCGCAAACACAACTAGGTGAGTACAACTAGGTGAGTACACATACACACACACACACACACACACACACACACACACACACACACACACACACACACACACACACACACACACACACACTCACACGCACACGCACACACACACACATACACACACACACACACACACACACACACACACACACACACACACACACACACACACACACCAACCTACGCAACAGTCTAGAGATAGAAAACATCATGACTGCGTTAGATAACAGGAGCGAAGGTCGAGAGATGTTGCCGAAGCATGAGACGACTGCATGTTTCAAACGTTGCCACTGTTATCGTACTCCCACTGTTATCGTACTCCCACTGTTATCTAATGCGGGAAAGATACCGAAAAGTTGTCAGTTCCATTCAGATAATTGATGCCTAAAGTGTTGTTGGAGTTGGTAGCTCTTTAGTCACTTATATATTCACTTTAAATCTTCAATATTTTGTGAGCTACTTAGTTGCCGAGAGGACAAGATTGTGTTTATATACATGTTTTTATTACAAACTATGATACTTCTACTGATATGCGAAAGGTCATTTCAAAAATTAAAAAATTGGGTAACGTGTTTGTCCCAGCTTCCTTCCTCAGGATACAGCAAAGACAAATTGCAACAATAAATACACAATTGGGCAGCAGCAGGACAGAAAACTCCGCCCACAAGTCCAACACAGCGCGCCCCCAGCCTCAAATATTATCTAGTCAATGAGCGAGACACCGCTCCTCGAGTACTCACCTTATCGATACCTTGCATTAGTCTCACTGACCACTGTGCACTAAATTGCAGTCCTCGTGAGCCGTCCCTCACCTCAGCATCAAAGTAAGTTAGCTGGTGTGTGTGTGTTGCACCTCCCTACCGTGGTGAACATGCTCTACTACCCACCTCTGCATTTTTAGATGTGTTTAAAAATATCCATAATGAAATTTGCTTAAACAAAGGAGCACAATAATCGTCTCTCGGGTCTCCAGGATGGTTCCGAAGGGCTCGTTCACTATCAGTCTTCTCTCATAATTCACTCACTTGTGGTCAACCTCACTTCGATTTTATGATTAATCTTTGATCATAACTTGGGATATTTCCAAAGCTTCAAAAAGAAGATGATACAAATATTTATTTGCCAAGCTTCCACCTTTCTTTCCACTTTCTTCATTTCCAAAGGCTTCGAGCTTCCACACCAACATCGCCAGCTCACCAGCTGCACAATTTTGTAAATAATAAAAGCAGGTAGAATTAAACAAATGAAAAAAATAACCATTAAGTTGAATATGATTTAAAATAATAAAATTTACTTCATATAACATCCATCTGATACGCTTAATAATATTGATATAATTATCCCATTAACATTTTTATATCAAATGAGTTCAGCAATAATATACACTCTCGCCAAAAATATATAATACCACTTTGTTACTTTACTTTTGCAACAAAAACATTCACAAGGTTAAATATCCAACAAAACAGTATTCTCTTTTGTCATTATATATATTCACGTAAATCACATGATTCTGTTATTAATCCATTTATATACATCTTATGAATGCACGCAACCCCGCCCATTTCATGTATAATTTTATCAGCACACAATACATATATAGATGTACACATGTAACCCTTTACAATTCATAAACAGATTCATTCCACACTGAATATAATGATTGAATATATCCTCACATAATTAATGTAGGCATATATTGCCACATAATTTTTGTATGCATATACCACACACAATTATTGCATGATTATATCCTCATGCAGTTAATGTAAACATGTAACCCCCCCTCCCCACACAATTCATGTATATATTAAATCATATATAATTCGTGAATACATGAATCACCGCACCATTCATATATACGTTAATTTTTATGTTAAAATAACCTATTTATTTTATTTAGATTTTATAAATACATCATTTGTGTATTCACAGTGGCGAGTGCAGGAGACGCAGGACCTGCCAGACTGCAGGACAACATAACAGAGGCTCACGTGAAGGCGGCGCTGACGGCGGACAAGGGCAGCGAGGCCGACCTCGTCTCCTGGAGCGTTAAGGACTTTACTCACAAGGGCGACAACTACACCACCATCGTTACCAGCGTCAGCGTCACGTTCTCCCTGGCAGGGAGGGAGTCGACGTCCTCCTATGTGATTAAACTCAAACTTCAAATGCCTCCTGGTGAAGTTTTATCAGAGTTTTTTTCCTCAATTTACAAGAAAGAAGCAGAATTTTTCCAGGAAATCCTTCCACTACTCAACGCTGAACTAACGACCCGAGGGCTCGGCTGTTTACGAATGGCGAAGTGGTTCTATATGTCATTGAAAAAGAACGAAGGGATGATTTTCTTTGAAGACCTCCGCTCACGTGGGTTTAAAATGTTTGACTGCAAGAAGGGAATGGACGTGGCCCACGCCACCCTCGTCCTGCAGGAGCTGGCCACACTCCACGCCGCCTCCCTCCTGCTGAAGGCCACGGCACCCGACCAAGACCTGGCAGACAGGTTCACACATATTAAAGTTGACTGGATGAACTTCCCGGAAAAAGCTAAAAAACGTTTCAATGACATGTTTTCTACCTATATGCTGTGTAGTAGTGAGTTGTTACACAACAAGGAAGGCTATGAGGTAGCAGAGCAGTGGCTTGCCAAATATAAGACCAATTGCATGGATCTTATCGAACTCCAGCTGGCTAGAAATTCCAAGTTCGACGTCTTATGCCATGGAGACTGCTGGATCAACAATATGCTCTTCAGGTGAGTGGAAATCGAGTTGCTGACAATGTTTATTACTCACTTCTTATCTGTGTCTGATTCTTCCTTTATCTTGAATCAAATTAGGCCTAATATCACGACTCTTGTATAGGCTCCGGACGTTGACCATCCAACTAGCCGTCTCTGGCGGTAACAATCAATCATTTCCAAACTACTATCGGCCTTTTGTCCTTGAAGCTATCGTGATTAGAATGGCGAATTTCCTTAGCAAAATCCAGTTTAAGGCAAAGTGCATTATACTTTTTATACATATCTCAACTCTAAGAGAATTTTGCACTATGTACAGTGATCAACAGCGTTTCAGAGGATGTGGTTTTGAAGACACTCGTTATGGGTCAGTAGAAGGGGACCTCAAATATTTAATGAGGAAGGGTTACATGTAATCTTGAATTAATGATAAGTTTCATGAATATTTAATTAATTACTACATAAAATTGAAGGAAAATCATCTTACCTAATAGTTATTGAAATGTTAACAGTCGCATAGATGACCATACGGGCACAGCGAATGATGAAATAATTTCCGTTGAACTTGACTTCTTCGTACTGAACGGTTTTCTACAGTCTTACTTACAATTAGCAGTGTTGCCTCTGGTAACACTTCAGAAGATGTACAACACATATGTCTCTTGAATTTAGATTTCAAAGAACATATGGCATATACAATAATGATTTCCCTTTTTGGAGGTCGAGGTTTAGAACTCTAGATCGTGCAGCTCTCTTCTACGTGCTCACTATATGTCAAGAATGAAGAGTGAAAAATTATTCCTTCAAAATCTGAGTTATACTGATCGATTTTGAGCTTACATTACCTGACACAAATTATTATCTGCCACAAATTATCTAACAGCCTCGTTGTCTCGAATTTATAGCACAGATAACTAGGCACACTTAACAGTTCTTTTAGATCTTGCTTTATGTTCAAATGTTCACACAGCTCCTTTAATTAGGAAAAATGAATTTGTCGTTCCATGTTAGAGGAGTCAACTTATTTTTATTTGCAACTGCAGGTACAACGAGAACGGTGATCCCGTTGAGGTGATGCTCCTTGACCTTCAGTTGAGCCGTGTAGCCTCCCCGGCCACCGACCTCAACTACTTTCTCTACATCGGCCTCCACGGCAACGACAGGAAGACCAACTGGCGGGACTTACTCTCCTCCTACTACGACACCTTCAGAGGTGTGATGGAAGCCGGGGGAAGAGACATGCCTTTCACCCTGGAGGAGCTCCATCAGGAGTACAGAAACAAAATGGAATATGGGATGATCTTCGCTACATTTTTTGTACCGATTTTGCTAGGCGAGAGGGAAGATGCGCCTTATGTAATGGACCTGAAGGAAGAAATCATGTCAGACTTTATAGAAAAGACTCGACATGTTACTAGTAATATGATGGAAAATAATCCGGATTTTCGATCTCGGTTTCTTGCCTTGTTTGATGACCTGATTCATCGGGAGCCAAGATGTCATAGCATTGTTTAGCAAGCAGAAACAAACATATAATTAAAGTGTACTAATGTTATACATTTGTTTGCTTTCCTGATATATCCGACATGCAGTAATTAACGAAGACCTTCATCTCTGCCCAACTGAAGGTCAATTCACTGTGTTATGAAGAGCTGGAATGACTTTTCTGAATCAAATGCAAATACATAATCGCCAATTATATGACGGTGAAAATTAGTTAACTTATCTCTCACAATTCTAATTTAATTTATTTTCTTGTAAGAAAAGGATCCGTGGGTCAAGCCTGGGCTGCCTCACTTCTTTTAGTAATGCTTTATATATAAACAACTTCCTATCTCTGCTCTTGCGGGTGCACACACACACACACACACACACACACACACACACACACACACACACACACACACTCATATTTGGACATGATCATGAGGGGACATGATCACCACATTCAAGATTCTGAAGGGAATTGATAGGGTAGATAAAGACAGTCTATTTAACACAAGGGGAACACGCACAAGGGGACACAGGTGGAAACTGAGTGCCCAAATGAGTCACAGAGATATTAGAAAGAACTTTTTTAGTGTCAGAGTGGTTGACAAATGGAATACATTAGGGGGTGATGTGGTGGAGGCTGACTCCATACACAGTTTCAAATGTAGATATGACAGAGCCTGATAGGCTCAGGAATCTGTACACCTGTTGATTGACGGTTGAGAGGCGGGACCAAAGAGCCAGAGCTCAACCCCCGCAAACACAACTAGGTGAGTACAACTAGGTGAGTACACACACACACACACACACACACACACACGGGGCCTGTGGCTGATTAGACATCACGCTGGACTCGTGATCCTGTGGTCCGAGGTTACATTACCGGCCCCGGCGAGAAACAATGTTAAATTTCTTTCACCCTGATGCACCTGTTACCTAGCAGTAAATGGATTCCTGGGAGTATGGAAGTATGGAAGTATGCAGTATGGAAGCCTCCGCTCCTTTATCCCATTGTTCTCCATCTCGTACGTGAAACTCAACACAGAATTCTGCTCAAATGCCTCCTTCAGCTGCTGCAGACATCTGGCATCAGGTACCTGTGTAAAAATGTCGTCAACATACCAGTAGTATATGGCGGGTTTCAAGTCCATGTCAACTAAGACCCTCTGCTCGATGGTGCCCATGTAGAAGTTCGCAAACAGGACACCTAGGGGAGAACCCATGGCGACCCCATCTACTTGCTTATACATGTGCCCATCCGGGCTCACGAAGGGTGCCTCTCTAGTGCAGGCTTGGAGTAGTTTCCTCAGTATGCTTTCTGGCATGTCAAGAGGAGTGCAAGCCGGGTCACGATACACTCTGTCTGCTATCATCCCGATTGTCTCGTGCACAGGTACGTTGGTAAATGGTGACTCCACATCCAACGAGGCTCTTATCCCCGTGGCCCGTGCTCCGCGCAGTAAGTCGACAAATTCCCTTGGAGACTTCAAGCTGAAAGCACAGGGTACGTAAGGATTCAGCAACTCGTTTAGTCGCTTAGCCAGTCTGTATGTTGGTGTGGATGGCTGATGATTGGCCGAAGTGGTTTCCAGGCTTGTAGGTCTTGACATTTCCATAGGCATACCCAGGTTTGTATTCCCCAACAACTTTTGGCAGGTGGAGTCCGGATTTCTTGGCGCTCAGTTTCAATCAATCTGTTTACCTTCGTTTTCAATTCGGCTGTAGTGTCCTTCGTTACCCTTTGGAATTAAGTTTGGTCAGAGAGTATGAGAGACATCTTTTCGACTGCTCATAAAACGGAGGAAAGGGTCCTGAAAGATATTGTTGATAAGAACGTCATTTCTACAGACAAAAATCAGAATATACAATTGATAATTTATTATAACCCCCCCCCCAAAAAAAAACGGCAAATCTACTCATGAAAAACTCCCCAGACACCAAGCAAAACGCTTTGAAAGAGACCAACGTCGTCTATGCCTTTAAATGCCCACTTGGGGACTGTAAGCCCCAAAGAATTCAGTATATAGGCAAGACAACAACGTCTATTTCTAGGCGACTATCAATGCATAAGCAACATGGAGCCATCAAGGAACACATAATCTCTTCTCACAACCTGACCATCACCAGAGAAATCTTAACAAACAACACAGAAATCATCGATAGGTACGGCGATAGCAGGCGGCTCGACATCAGCGAGGCTCTACACATCAAAAATTCAACACCAGCAATCAACAGCCAAATAATGCACAACTATATTCTACTTACTTCAAGACCCCGAACCAATATGGAAGCAGCAAGAGGAAGTATGGGTCAATAGGCCTTCTGCAGTTACTTCCATTCATATGTTCACTTATCCAATTTATACCCATTGTTTCGTGTTCTGTCTTGTGTTTGTCACCTCACCCAAAACTTTTGTACTTAATCACCTCATCCAATAGAGTATAAGTACGAAGAATTTGAATGTAAATTAAGTCTTTGATAATGTAATACGAATTACGAAACGCGTTCAGGCGTCAGACAATTAAAAAATTAATTTCGGAGAATTGTTATTTTTATTACCACCGACAGTGAAGAAAAACATCAGAAATATTGAGAATATTTGTGTTAGAATTATTAATCTTACGTTTTCGGTCAAATTCAGCAATATATGTTTACAAGAAAGACTGCTACCAAAATATACTAATATATATATATAAATATATATATATATATATATATATATATATATATATATATATATATATATATATATATATATATATATATCTCACCGCCTCACAGCAGTAGCAGCACCACATGCAGGGGATTTCCTGTTAGCAACCCCAATGTCGGCAACTGGCACGCGTCTCACACCACACGCCCTCCGAATTGCTGTGGCCCTCCACCTTGCTGCCCCAATCCACACCAGATATAGGTGTATTTGCGGCGAGGTGGTGGCTGACAGGTACGGCCACCATGGCCTACTCTGCCAAAGCACAGGGGGATGGCACTCGAGGCACAGTGAAGTTAACGACATCATCAAGAGGAGCCTCACCACAGCTGGATGCCCAGCTGAAAGAGAGCCCCGTTACCTAACGCCCCGTAACTCTGATGCTCTTATTGGTCGCCCGGATGGTATCACAGTGAACCCCTGGAAGAATGGCAAGCAGTTGGTATGGGACTACACGTGCGTATCAACCCTGGCTAACACCTACATTAACCTCAGTGTTGCACAACCAGGTGGCGCTGCCACCCACAGGGAAGCAGCCAAATCCCGTAAGTATAGAGAACTGGATCACCAATACAATTTTGTCCCCATTGCTTCTGAGACACTCGGCGCCTGGGGTAAAAGTGCTACCAGTTTTTTGAAGGAACTGGGTTCTAGGCTCATTGAAACAACAAGGGACCCGAGAGCTGCAAGCTTTCTTTTCCAGCGCCTCAGTGTGGCGATACAGAGGGGAAATGCGCACTGCATCCAGGGTTCCTGCCCGCCATCTGAGGAGCTGGAGGAACTCGACAACCTATGACAACCATCTTTGTAACCCATATGTAACTCCTTTTTTGTAACAAAGTTCAAATAAAGTAAATATATATGTGCACATACAAAAGAATGGGGGTGGTAGGAGAAGATAATATTAGTGTTCAGTGAGAAACCACAAGGTCTCCTCTGAATACTTTTTATTTTCTTCTCCGAGGCTATGGGTCCCCACATTGGCACCAGAGGTGGTACCCTCACAAACTTTTATATATATATATATATATATATATATATATATATTTGTGTCCTCTTTATGTTAATTTTTTGTATAAAATCAGATATGTAACTGTATAACCTTGCAAAATAAAGTGTACATCATAAAAAAGGTGGGTGGTAGGAGAAGCGAACACTCTTATTAATATACGTATTAATACTTATTAATAGATGTATTAATATACGAAAGTACTTAAGGAAATTCCTGTTTCAATCTATATATATATATATATATATATATATATATATATATATATATATATATATATATATATATATATATATATATATATATACATATATATATATATATATATATATATATATATATATATATATATATATATATATATATATATATATATATATATATATATATTCAGATGTGAATGTGTGTGTATATATAATAAATTCCTACATCTACCTCATATGCAACCCTAATTTACAAATATTTTTCCGTTTTATAGTCAATACATACACAAGACTTCGGCTTCCAATACGTGCTGGGATGAAACAACAACTGTCTGTAGCACAAACTTACACAAAAGTCTAGACATGGAAAACATCATGACTGCATCAGATAACACGAGCAAAGGTCGTGCAAAGAGCTGTTGCCGAAGCATGAGATAACCGTCATGTCTTAATCATTGTACACTGTTATTTAATGATCGAAAGATACTGCAAAGCAGCGAATTCCATTCAGATAACTTTGGCCTAAAGTGTTGGTGGGGCTCTTTAGGCACTTATATATATATATATATATATATATATATATATATATATATATATATATATATATATATATATATATATATATATATATATATATATATATATATATATATATATATATATATATATATATATATATATATATATATATATATATATATATACACATTAAATCGTCAATGTTTTGTGGGCTACCTAGTTGCTGAGAGGACAAGATTGTGTCTATACACATGTTTTTATTTTAAACTTTGTTACATCTACAGACACTTGAAGGTCATTTAGTCAGTTTAAAGATTGGATAATCTCTTTGTCCCAGCTTTCTTCCTCAGAATACGGTAAAGAAAAATTTCAACAGAAAATACACAACTGGGCAGCAGCAGGACAGAAAACTCCGCCCACAAGACAATGACAGCTTGCCCCAGTCTCATATATAACCTAGTTAACGGGCGAGACACCACTCCTGGCGGTTGTGGGAGTACTCACCTTGTCGGTCGCTAGCATTAGTCTCACTGACCACTGTGCACTAAATTGCAGTTCCTCGTTAATCGTCCATCTTCTCAGCATCAAAGTAAGTTAGCTGGTGTGTGTGTTGCACCTCCCTA